GCCATGCTTTGTCCTCATAGTTGTCACCTCGTGGTCAGGAGGTGGTTGTCTGAACATAAACTGTTACATCCATGTTTAAGGCAGCAAATATGGCGGGGGGGGGGGGGGGCGGGGAGGGAGCGGGAATTGAGCTATTCCCTTTAATCCCCAATGTAAAAGGCCTCCCAGAAACTACCAGCCTTTTGACAGAACGCTGGTGGTTAGGTGAGGACTAGGCTAGATGGCCACCTGTAGCTGCAAGAGATGCTGAGAAAGCAATCATCTTTTTACTTCTAGAGCAGCTTTCTTTCAGGGAGAAGGAAGTCATAAAGAAGGAGTGGATATTGTTTCCATTCATTGAAATTCTTAGTGCATCTAATTCTCCTGGATGTGGGTGGGAGGTGTCATCCCAAGGGGATATTCAGTGGGGAGTTGGATATAAATTAAAAACTCAAGCCAAGGCTTAGGGCTTAGGATATATTTGGAGGTCATTGGAATGTAGGTGGGGTGTAGGAGGATGCCCTGCATTCTCACAATTTCTGAGGCGTGAATGGCTTTTCATCCTCCTAACATAATTTCACTTTAGCCCAAGTTTGCGGAGACGAGCTAATTTTTCTACATGCTCACACACCCACCCTGGAATTTAAGGGATAATAAAGTTATGCAAAGAATCACTGTGTGCAACAAAAAGCAGAGCCTTTTCTGCCAGACCTACCTCCAACACAAACATGTATACACACCAGTCAGCGCTATACATAGAACTGGCTCTTAAATACCCACTTCTATTTGCCGCGCTGCGGAGCAAATGTGTTTTCATTCTCTTGATTAAAATAACAAGAACTATCATCATACTGGAAGGCTTGGTATTTGTTACAGAAATATAACCACACAAAAAAATACAACTGTGGAGACTCTTGCTGAGGTCTCCTGGCAAAGTGTCTGGTACTATCTGGCTTGGGATGAAAATCCTACAACTAAACAACCTTACCTCTCAAGCAATGCTCAGACCTACTACTGTGAAGACTATGGAAGAAGTCCTCTTTTACCTTCAGCCTGAGAGGGGCCTCTGCCTTTTTAGCCAGGCAGGCCAGTCCCGGAAATTCTGCTCTGGAACTGTGGCTACAAGAGGAGCGTGTCTTCAGTACTTACTCTGACCGGTGAAATAGCTTTGACAATTTTTTTTTTCTTTCCCCAGAGACACAAGGTGACATTTTAAAGGAGAAACCACTCTTTTGGTGCCAGAGAGTCTTTTGAAAATATTAGAAGAAGGGCTCAAAGGAATGTCTGCTCAAGCACAGCTGTCCAAAGCCTCCTGTTTCAAGGAGAATTCAGCCACTTTATGCAGACGGGGATCCATTTCAGCCTCTTCCCTGTTGGATCTGCTTTGTACTCAGCATCAGGTTCAAAACTAGTAATATCTTCTTGGTTCAATCCCCCCTCCCCCCCTTTTTTTTCCTGGTTAGCTAAATCCATGCTATATTGTAACATCACTCTGTGCCCCAATCATGAGCTCCTTAAGGTTAGGGGTCACATCTTGTACTTGGTTATTTCTTGCAGAGTTATGTCTGTCATGGTAAACCTGCAGGAAATAGTTGTTATATGAATGAATGAAAGAACAGAGAGCAATGGTAGGTGAGTTGCTAGGCAGCCTGGTAAAGAGGATTAGAAAACTCAGGTCAGGTTAGCAGGAAAGGTGGGGTAGAGGAAAGAATGTTTTATTGAGCCAGCAGACAGAAATCCTAGCCCCAGGTTGGCTTGTTTGCCTTTACTTATTCAACAAACATTTCTTTAAGCTTCTTCCAGTGAGCCAGGCAGGCCTTGCCACAGACCATGAATAAGACAAAGCCCCTGCCTTCAAAGTGCACTGGGGGTGGTGAGAGGCACATATGACAATCAGGGATGATAGAAATATGTGTGATTGGAGACATGATGGCCAGCACAGGGCACACGGAACAAGGTGAAGGGGCTTCTAAGTCAGACTGTGGTTTCCTGAAAAGCTTCCTGAAGAAGGATTTTGATTCAAGTATTACAGTGAGTGTTGATTGGATGAGAGAGATGGATTAGGTAAAGCATCATAGGTACAGGGACTAGCATGTGAGGATCTTCCAAACCATAAAATTGGAGGCTGCAATTGAGAGCTAAAGTCTCAACTGAAAGATTGGCTATAGCTAGAGTTACCTTTCAAAGGGCTTTCTGGCAGTATGATTTAGTGCCTAAGGGGAGAGGTTTAGAAATCAGACAGAACTGAGTTCAAATCTCAGCTCAGGTAACAATAACCAGATTGTTATTTGTGTGTGTGTGTGTGTGTGTGTGTGTGTGTGTATGTCTGTGCATGCGTGCGCGCACGAGTATGTGTTTACCCCTCTAATTCTTAGTTACCTGACATAGTGTCTAGCTCTATCACATATAGTATTGCTGCATAACAAATCATCCCAAACCATAATAGCTTGAAACAACATGCATTTATTAAATCCTCATTTTCTGTGGGTCTGTAATCTGGGCCCTGCTTATCAGGGCCCTCTGCTTCAGGATCTCACGAGGCTGCAATTAAAGCGTCAGCCAGAGCTAAGGTGTCATCTCAAGACATAACCTGGAAGGATTCATTCCCAAGCTCACTTACATGTCTGCTGGAAGAATACAGTGCCTTGCTGGCTGTTGGCCAGAGGCTGCCTCAGTTCCTTGCCATGTTGGCCTTCCCATCAAAACAGCTTCCTTCATTGAAGCCAGTGAAAGAGATATGCTATCAAGACAGATGTAGCCTGATCATTGAAGTGACTTCTCATCACTATTACCACCTTGTGCGGGTTAGAAGTCAGTAGGTCAGCTCACACCCCAGAGAAGGGGTTTATACAAAGAAATAATCACCAGGAAATTGCGGGCGGGGAGGGTTATTGGAGGCCGTTTTGGGATCTGTCTGCCTGACTCACTAAATAAATAGCTTCTTACCACTAAATAAATGTTAGATATTATTATTATATTAGAGGCCCTACGCACGAAATTCGTACAAGGGGCTTGGCCCTCACAGCCCCGGCTGCCTTGGCCCTCGAAGCCCCAGCTTCGTCTGGAAGGTTGTCCAGATGGTCGTCTGGATGGTTGTTCTGCTGTTCAGTGTAATTAGCATATTAGCTCTGTATTGTATAGAACTAGAGGCCCAGTGCACAAAATTTGTGCACTGGAGGGAGATGTCCCTCAGCCCAGCCTGCACCCTCTCCAATCTGGGACCCCTTGGGATTGGGCCTAAACCAGCAGTTGGACATCCCTCTCACAATCTGGGACTGCTGGCTCCTAACCACTCACCTGCCATCCTGATTGACATCTAACTGCTCTCCTGCTGGCCTGATTGTCCCCAACTGCCCTCCCCGGCTTGCCATCTTGTGACAACATGGGGGCAGCTATCCTGTGATGACATGGGGTGGCCATCTTGTGGTGGTTATCTTGTGACCAGGTGAGGGTGGCCATCTTGTGACGACTTGGGGGCAGCCCACCTTGTGATGTGAGGGCATGGGTGTCAATTTGCATATTACCTCTTTATTATATAGGATTCAATTGAGAGTTGAAAAAGCTAGAAAGCCTGTGAGGAAGTAACTTTAGGTGCCCATGGGTAAGTAAAATCACCTCATGTCATTGAGCCTTCATTTCCTGAATACATTGAAAAATACCTAGCACCAAAGAAATGAGAACGCATCTATGCAAGCACAAATGCATTTTGTAACACCAAATATACAACTCTACACAGTCTGTGGAAGCAAACTGTTTTGGGCTAATTTTCCATTTTGTGTGGATTCTGTGAACTTCACAGTCTGATATCCTCAACCTTGTTAGGGCTTAGCTCTGTGGGCCCAAAAGGATTTGTTCAACTGGAATAAACATTCACACACACACACAAAAAATGTAGCTGTTGAGCGTCCCTTAAGCAATTCCTTCTTTTTGCTTTTTTACTTCTTCGTACCTTCTTTTTGCTTCCAAGGACCCCATGGAGGACTGGAGAGAGAAAACAGGCTATCTGGGAAATTTCAAGCTCTTGATAATAAAAATGCTAATAAAATCTTGGCCGGCTCCTGATACTCCGCAGAGGGAATGTTTATGGTGGATGGGATTCCTCCACAGCCTCGCAGCTGGTTTGTGCGGGTTTCCAGTCCCGCGGAGCAGCAGGGGTTCCACCTCTGTCTCCAAGGGCGAGGGCAGCTCCGATGCCCACACCCCTTAAATAGCGGGTGAGAGACCCAGGGTACCGCGCCCCGCTGTCTGATTCCCAAACCCGGCGCCTCTTCCCACGCCCCAAACGGAACCGATCACACACTGTCGTTTTTCATGTTCTTCCCGGGTGCGGTTTTCCCCGGGGAAGGCAAACAGTTCCATGACCTGGACGGAACTTAGGAGTCAGCCCCTCTGACTCCATACAAAGACGCGCTTCTCCACTGGACTTCTCTGGGTGCCAGAGAAGCGGTCCAAGAGGGTGCGACTGCGACCAATCCCCTTTGCTTCTCGGCACTCGGGGTTGGCCTGGAGGACCAGGGGCCCCTGGGACCCCGGCACACACCCTGGCCCTGCCAGCCGGGTAGGGGGCACGCGCCGCCGCGGGGCTCCCCCTTTGCGCTGAGATCCCCTCCTGCAGCGCAACTGCCTGCAGACTAGCGGGCCCTCGGGTCCCGGGAGGCGGGGCTCGCGGGGACCGGACGGGAGGGAGGGAGGGGGTGTCCCGGGAGGTCTCGGAGCAAGAAGGGGCAAGCTCTGGGCAACGCAGGTCGGGGGCTTTCACCTCGCCCGGGGTAAAAGCGGGGCCGCTTCCGCAAGCCCTGCCTCAGAAAACTTTTAACAAGAACCAGATGTGGCAGCTGCTGTCGAATTTTTCTCAGAGCCGGGGATTGGTCCCCGGGGAGGGCCTCGGCCAATCAGCGCGCGGAGAGGGCGGGGAGGCCCGCCCCCTCCGGAGCCCGCGGGGAACCAGGTTGGAGCGGGCGCTGCGCGGCTAGTGGGCTCGCGGGCTGGGACCGTGCGGGGGCAGCCCAGGCCGAGCGAGCATGCGGGGGGACCGGGCGGCCGGGCTGCGGGCGCTGCGGGCGCCGCCGCCGCCGCTGCTGCTGCTGCCGCTGCTGCTGCTGTCCCGGGCCGCGGCGCTGGACCCCAGCGGGCTCTTCCCCTACGGGCAGTTCAGGGGGGACCAGCTCCTGAAGGAAGGCGACGACGAAAGCTCAGCCGCGGTGAAGCTGGCGAGCCCCCTGCGCTTCTACGAAGCTCAGTTCGACTACCTCTACGTAAGTTCGGTCCCCTCTGGGTGCGGGACCCGGCGGGTTTCATGCAACGCCTTCCCAGGGGGTCCGTGCAATGTGGGGCTCACCGAACCCTGGCTTCCGAGGGGAGGAAATAGTGTCCCCGAGCGCCCCAGGGGTGGGACCAGGCTTTGCGGCGATGCTGCTGCCGGACCCGCTGCTTTCCTTGCCTCCAGGGAGCGGCCAGGCAGGAAAGGAGGTTGCATGGCTAGGGCAGCCCAAGGGGCTTCCAGGGAGGGCGACGAGGAGGCTGTGCACGTCTGCAGAGCTGGGGTGCCCCCTCCCCGGGCTTGGAGGGTTTTCTCCAGGGTTTCGCTCGAAGTACGCGAACACGTTTTAGGGCTCCCGGACCCATTCCGTCGGGTTGTAGGGTACGGGTGGGCGGGTGGGACACGGGCTGGAGTTGCTCTGAACCCGGAGTTGACCTCCCAGGCTTTGGGGAAGGGGGAGCTTCACGCCCGGGGCGGTTCCCTTCTCTCCCAGAGGGGCAGGGCGTGCGTGCACGTGTGGATCCGTGGTGGCAGCCCTTGGCTTCTTGTAGATCCTGCGACCGACCTCCACCTTTTGCCCCCTTCACCTCCCCATCCCAGGTGGGCACCAACGGCATCATCTCCACCCAAGACTTCCCCAGGGAGACCCAGTATGTGGACGATGGTTTCCCCACGGACTTCCCGGCCATCGCCCCCTTCCTGGCCGACATGGACACGAGCCAGGGCCGGGGCCGGATCCTGTACCGCGAGGACGCGAGCCCCGACGTGCTGGACTTGGCGGCCCGCTACGCGCGCACCGGCTTCCCGCGCTCCGCCTCGGACTTCACCCCCACGCACGCCTTCCTGGCCACCTGGGAGCAGGTGGGCGCCTACCAGGAGCCCAGGCTCGGGATGCCGCCCTCCGGAGAGGTAAGGGACAAGGGGTGCTTGGGAAGCTCCTGAGCCAGTGCGGGGGTGGGCTTGAATTCTAGGCTGGAACCCAGGGAGCGATTTGGAGTCTTTTCCTCCGAGTCTGCTAAGTGGCTTGAGTATGAGGTCTTCAGGCTTCCATTGAAGACCTGAGAGGTGGTCCCTTCTAGCGGGAGAATGTGGTTAGGGGGTGAGAGGGCCCCTGTGCAGATGCTGAGGGCCCTCAGAGCACAAGGCAGTTCCCTGTTTGGCTGTTTGTTTTAAGAATCACCTCTAAGTATGCAAGAATTATTTCTAATTATATGTTCATTGAAAGAAAAACATAAGCAAACACAGGCAGTTCACAAAAAAAAAAAAAAAGAACAACCTCTCTTTTTCCTACCACTCAAAGATAACCACTGTTAAACATGTTTCCTGTTTATTCCAGAAGTTTTTCCCACCCCCTCTATCAATATCTATATTTATCTGTCATTTTCTGTTAGCAGTGATGGGTTCACAGTGCACATACTGTTTTGTAGCCTACTTTCCCCCTCACTAAATAGTATATTGTGAATATGTTTCAGTGTCAGTAAATCTGTTTCTACAACATTATTTATAAAGTCTGCATCATAGTCCACCCACTGGATTTACCACAGTGGTCATTAAGGTTATTTCCATTTTTTTTTTTTATCATTATAACTAATTTTGGGAAGCACTCTTTTAAAGCTAAATCTTTGCACGTGTCTTTTGTTGACACTTTAGGGTTTGGAATTGGGGGCCAGAGGGGATGGGCTTTCTATAAAGTTATTGATAGCTTTTGCCAACTTGCCCTTCACATTTCCATGCTCCCTAGTTTACAGAAGACTGTCCTCAATTTGTTTTATAGTCGGCACCTGAGGAGCAACCCAGGCTTGGCAGCAACCAAATGGGCATCGGGTGGGGTCAGGGTGGCTTGGCAAATGGTAAACTGCTTCATTCCTGGAGTAGGTAGGGACTTCCTCCCATGAAATGAGACCTGAATCAGAAATGTTATACTCCAACGGCTGAAACACTTACAATTTATCTCTATTTTAACTCATCAAAGAATTTCTTAGCTACAGAAAGATGGTACATCTCTTCCCTGAGAGATGAGTATTTCAAGATGGTGGCCATTTTTATGAGTTCTGTAAGAGAAGTATTTACTATAAAGACTCCACTAAGCAAAGAAGATTTAGAAATAAAAATTGTTCAAATTTATGATTTTTTGGCCACTCATTCTTTTATTTGTGTGTGTGTGTGTGTGGGGGGGGATCAGGCAACATCTAGTTTTGTTTATTGAATACTTTTTAAACAATACATGGTTTGACATTTTAATTATTCAGTTCAACAGAATACATTGAATTTGAACAAATATATTGAGCACCTCTTTTGTGCAGGACATTGGGCTAGGTAAAGAGTTGGAGAAAGTAAGGTATGGCCCTCACCATTATGTTGCATTCATTCATTCATTCATTTTTGTTTATACGTTTAAAAACATTTAAAATTAAGTATAACATACTTACAATAAAACATTTAGAAAATAAAATAAACAGGAGTTCTAATTCCACTTACCAGAGGTCACAACTGCTAATAGTTTATCTTCTTCCAGTCTTTTTTTTCCTAAACATATATATGGTGTATTTATATATGTGTGTGTGTGTAAGCAATTTACATTTAAGCGTAGTTGAGATTTATTCATCCAACAAACCTTTTTTGCATACTTACTATATGTCAGGACTGACATAGATATCATGAAAGGACATTTAGTAGGAACATTCATTGTTATTCAATATGATAAGTATAAGTAGCGCTTTTACTTAGGGAGACTAATTCTACCCCTCTCTGGTTAGGAGACACTATCAGGGAAGGGTTCAATGAATCAGTAGCTTTGAGTCTGAGTTGAGCAGAGTGGAACATTCCCAGAAGGATAGTCTATGATACATCACCCATGTGCTGTAGAGTAGAATGGGTTTGGGGCAATATGTGTGTTATATTATCACTGAAGAGGAAGGGGGTGGGACAGGATGCTGGAAAGGCCCAGAGGTGGGGATTAGCAGATAATGTGCTGAGAGCTTGGACTTGGTTCTTTGGAAATAGGCAACCTTTGAAGGATTTAAAGCTGGGGACTGATAGTTTTTGTTAAGAGAATTCTTTCTGACTTCATTGAGGTGAGGGCACAAAGGAGAAAGATTGACTACTTAGACACTTACGATATAGGTTGTGTAAGTTATCTAGTTCCTGCTGATAACAATATTTTTATCGGTATTGTCTTCGCACAACAATCTTACAAGATAAATACCACATGACTTATCATTTGCATTTCACAGATAGTGGAAAATAGAAGTTAAAGCTATTGTCCAGACTTCTGCTCTTAGTGAGGCAAAGGTAGGTTTAGAATACAAATTTCTTGGATCTTAGGTTTTTTGGTTGCGTTTACCCAGACATTTTTTTTTCCACGCAAGACCCATTTCCTTGGCATGGGTGATGAAGGTAGACACAATAGTTGTGCCTTTTCGTAAGACTCCCAATAAGTAAGGCTGGACCTTTACTGTCTTGACGTGATCTTAGTACCAGAAGAGTCCTAGGAACCATAATACATTCAAAGGAAAAATGAGCTTGGAATGAAATCTGCTACCTAGGACACTCTTGATACAAATTAGTATTCCAACAGTCTGGAGAGATTCAGCTGTATCTGCCTTACTTTTCACCACGGAATAGAAAGACTCACTTGAGTGAGATGAATAGGGGAGATGAAATCACACTACAACTTTAAGTTCCAATTTTGTCAGTTCCTTATTTGAAATAGAAAATTAAAATACAGATAGCGTGACTTTGTTAATTTTCTCAATTCTTCTGTAGTGTGGAAATAATGCTTCTCTTACTCATCTTTCCGGGTGATGTAAAGACAATGGCAATAAAGATAAAACCATTTTGAAAGAAAAAGTGATTATGAAATGTTATCTGATGGTTTCAGAAACAATGACTCAGTCTCAGCCTTAGTTTCCTAATCTGGGAAATGGAGTAGCAAGGCCTGCCTTACAGGATTGTTGTGAGAATGAACTAAAGTGACATTTTTATGTAGCCACTGCCATCCCTTAGACCAGTGATTCTCAACCTTTTTAACACCTCGACCCTTTAATACAGTTCCTCATGTTGTGGTGAACCCCAACCTTAAAATTATTTTCGTTGCTACTACATAACTGTAATTTTGCTACTGTTATGAATTGTAATGTAAATATATGTGCTTTCCAATGGTCTTGGGCGACCCTGCTAGCGGTTCTCAACCTGTGGGTCATGACAGCTGCTGTAGAACCTAAGACCATCAGAAAACACAAATAGTACTTATATTATGATTCAGTAGCAAAATTACAGTTATGAAGTAGCAACAAAAATAATTTTATGGTTGGGGTCACCACAACATGAGGAGCTGTATTAAAGGATCAAAGCATTAAAAAAGTTGAGAACCACTGCCTTAGACCCATCTGGTGTGGATGCTCACTCAGTCTGTGTTCCCCTTTATGGCTTGATGGGACCAGGTTCTAGTTCTTTTATTTCTTGATCTTGCAAGGATGCTATGATGCAGTCCTTTATACAAGGATTCTTTAAATACAAGGTTTTCCAAATTGCAGTTTCCATCCAGGCTTTTTTGGGGGGAGGTGGGGAGTGCAGGAAGATTTGTAGATTCCATCTCTCTATCACTCTTCTAATTAAAATCTATCTTTGGACATTGCCATATGCTGAGTTGGCTTCAGAGTTCGTTTCATTTAGAAAGGAGATAAGGATTCTGTTTAGAGAAAGCATGTTGTTTTCAATTACCCATGCTGAAGGTTGTTCTGAATACTTCACAGAGCTCTGTGACTTTGTTCTTGTTTTAATAGTTCTTTGGAGGTAGATTTTGGCAAGTCGTCTACTTTTGCGTGAAGGATTTCTTAAATCTTGGCATATTAACCTTATGTTGCAAAGTTACCTGAAATGTGAAGATATCAGAGGAATGGCATCTTTACTCCTCAAACAATGTCAGTTGTTGCCCATCCTCTCCATGGATGTTCATGGTGGGTGTGTCAGGATGTTGTAGCTGATACTGCGGGGATATCAGGCTGTAACTGCATCTAAAAATATGAACAAATAGTGTTTATCAACTCAGTTCATCTGAGATTCCTTGAGCTGTCATAGGTACTTCACGGAGCAAAGAAGTCACGGTATTGACATTAAAGAACTTATTGACGGACAGAGGGCTAGTGTTTACTTTAGCTGCATTTTTTGGGGGAAGGGGAGTATTGCTTTGCTGTTGTTGGAGGGATGGGGGTTACACAGAACTGATTACACAGATCTGTGTGATACAGGGAATGTTGTGTTGATCTGAATTTTCAGTTGGGCTAGAAGAATGGATCTTGAGAGCGAGGCAGCAGGAGAGGTTGTTCTGAGCTAGGGTGTGGGAGAAGGCTGGGGAACTGAGACTGGAGAAATGGGTGAAGGAGTCATGGGTGGTAGCATAAGATGAGCAGAAAGGTGCCCATTGGAGGCCCCTGTGGGGCCTGAGATATGTTGACTTGTTTCAAAAGATGGTGGCCATTGATGGAGGGCATTGGAGCCACAGAGAAAATTCGAGGTAAGAGGAGGACTTTGTTGCTGCTTTTTGACTTCTGGAGCTGTAGTCTAGAAGAGGGGAGGTTTGCAGTCGATCTGAAAGAGTTTGACCTGAGGCTGAGGCATAGCTGTGAGGACTAGAGAATGAGACAGATAAGGAAATTGGTGAAAGAAATGCTGACCTTCTGCTGAAGACTAAAGGTCAGGAAGGGATGTGATAGCACTGAGCTTTTACCTTTGGATTTGGGGCGGGCTCTATAGGATTTAGGCAGAAAATGAGTGGGTGAGAATCATGCATGTGACAGTATCATACAGGTAATGGGCGATGGAGAATTATGCCAAGGCATGGCATTTAGTGCTGACACCAAACTCTGAGGCCAGAAGTCAGAGATGCTGTACTGTGGAAAGTATGCGACCCTCAGGAAGAGAGAAAACTATTACCCCTTTAGGAGTCACCCTATAGTGACTAGTTTTTATTATTTTTGCATGCCACTACAGGCCAGTCTCTTTGGGATAAAGTTGGCACTGTTTTGATTTTTTTTTTGCCAGATGACAAATTAGTTAAATCCGTGGTTGGCAAACTGCTGCTCGTGAGCCACATGTGGCTCTTTGGCCCCTTGAGTGTGGCTCTTCCACAAAACACCACAGCCTGGGCGAGTCTATTTTGAAGAAGTGGCGCTAGAAGAAGTTTAAGTTTAAAAAATTTGGCTCTCAAAAGAAATTTCAATCGTTGTACTGTTGATAATTGGCTCTGTTGGCTAATGAGTTTGCCGACCACTGAGTTCAATGAATTAGATGGGTACGTTTGATATCCACCAGCTTGGCTCTGCGAGTGTCCAGGCAATACTGACAGGTGGTATCCTATACCTGCAGAGGACAGCCCGACGCCTGCCTGCCTTCTGCTGAGGGCTCTGGCTTTCCTCTCTTCCTGATAACAAGATGACAGAAGCCTTGCAGCTCCGCAGCCCCTGGCCCTGATCCCGTCTATGCTGCTCCTCTGCCCGGGAAGGCCCCCCTCTCCTCTCTGCGATCCAGGGGGAGTTGGGAACCTGTGACCCTTTTGTGGGGTTTGGCAGCCCATCTGAGGGTTTCCCTTCAGGGACAGAGCGTGTGGGGTTCTTGCAAAGGCTTGTCTCTAGGAATGTGAAGACCTTTCCGGTCTGGAAGCCGGAAGGAGCGAGTGCCTTGGGAGGAGGAGCAGCCCTCAGGACTTGTGAAAGCCACTCTTTAGCAATGAGATGTAGAATTTTCTGGAACTGACAAATGGCATATGAACCTTTTGTTGCATAACCTTATGTTGATATACGATAACAAGTGATCATTTGGTGGCTGGGTGCTTTCAGTAGCCAAACTGTTGGTGTGTACTTTGGGACCCTAAATTCTATTTTAAAATTCTTCTTTCATTTGCCTCGGTGGAGACACGTAGATTAAATGCTTGCCACCTGTAATAAGTGCTTGTCTCCGGGATGGCGTGTAAAAGACATTGAGTAAATGTTCCTTGAATTTGTTGGCTGACTGAAAGAAGGCATAAAAAGTGCTAAATGCCCAGGCCCCACAGTACAAAGTCACACCCTCCTCTTCCCAGCTCTGTGTCCTTCCCCCTCCCCCGTCCCACCTCCCATCCCTTCCATTCCTTCACCATCTGTAGACCCTCCTTATCTCGTAGAATGTCTCTAAACTTAGAACCAGGATTTCTTCCTATCTCGGGTTTATTATGGGCAATCAATGCCAGGAGCTTTGAAAGCTTAGCTTTTGGAAACAGGTTCTTTCTCTTTCCTGGAGTTCTTTTCTCTCCCTAGTTGAGCTTTATTTATTCTGACTATAGTAAAACTCGAAAGTTCCTGGATCCACATTAATTGATGACGTAGTATATATATATATTTTAAATATATTTTATTGATTTTGTACAGAGAGGAAGGGAGAGAGATAGAGAGCTAGAAACATCGATGAGAGAGAGTCATTGATCAGCTGCCTCTTGCACACCCCCTCCTGAGGATATGCCCGCAACCAAGCCAGGTACATGCCCTTGACCGGAATTGAACCTGGGTCCCTTCAGTCCCCAAGCTGACGCTCTACCCATTGAGCCAAACCGGTTTCGGCGATGACATATATATACTACATGGTGATGTATAGACATGATGCAGACACTCTTGGTTTATATTTGGCAGAAGCTCTGGCTTCCCAGCTTTGAGAAATTCTAGAAAAACATCTCTTGTCTTTTGTTTTTAGAAAACACAAATCTTGCTGATAAAATAATCAACAACTACAATAGCAAATATACCAGCCCCACTCCCCTAAACTCTTTTTTAAAATATGTATTTATATTGATTTCATAGAAGAAGGGAGAGGCAGAGAGATAGAAGCATCAATGAGAGAGAGTCATTGATTTGTTGCCTCCTGCATGCCCCACACTGGGGATCGAGCCCACAACTCAGGCACAATGAGGTGAATGCGAACTAGAAACACTCACAAAGGTGTCACGGAGGGTCAGAGGACAGACATCGGTCTATATGGAATCACAGTACATCCCAAGGGGCAGCACCAGAGGGTTAGGAGGTTTTCAGTCCAGGGAAACGTGAAAACCTACACGGGACAAAAGGGGGAATGTTAGCCTCTGTGTCTCTGTTTCCTCATCTATACCTCTGGTAGGGGGTGTAGAGAGATGAATGGAAGAAAAAGAGAGTGAGGCAATAGTAAGGAGGTCTTTTGATGAGCCAGTGCCCAACACCATGCCGCCCACAATGGGCATTCAATAAATAGGTGAATGAATGATCCAGGTGAGTATCCAGGGCAGGAAGCTAGGGCAGTGGGAATGAACAAGGTAAGTTTGCTACTTGCTCTCAGCTCTGAAAGAGTTTGGAATTGAGCATTTATACCTTAAAAGGTATTATGTTTTTAACAAGCTTTTTTTTTGTACCTATACATATTTCAGCTATTAATCTGAATTGATAAAACATGATTATTATCTGACCTAGCTTATTAAATTATATTGTCACTTGAAGAGGAAATTTAAAAGAATAGTACGTACAAAAAAGTTTTGGAAAAATCCTAATGAGGGAGGAACCCTTTGTACTTGATGGTGCTTTGCTTGCATTGTCTTTTTGTTTGTTTGTTTTATTAAGAATATTTCCTTTTCTTTTCCCCCCCCGCAGCTGAATACTTTCCAGGCAGTTTTGGCATACGATGAGTCCGATACCTATGCCTTCTTTCTTTACCCTGTCAATGGCCTTCATTTCTTTGGAACGCGCCCCAAAGAGTCCTACAATGTCCAGCTCGAGCTTCCAGCCCGGGTGGGCTTCTGCCGAGGGGAGATCGATGACCTGAAGACAGAGGGACCGTACTTTAGCTTGACTAGCACTGAACAGTCTGTGAAAAATCTCTACCAGTAAGTGCCCCAGGGCTAAGCCTTTCCCTGTTGGAATGGAAGGGCCCTCTGGAGCTCCCCAAATCCAAGTGGTCATAAGACCATTCAATAATATCTTGGTGGTTTCTAAGTAAGGCATCTAGACTAGACCCCTTGAGGAGCAAGGCCACCAAATATAAAAGGTCCTTTATTTTCCTTGCCCTGTTGGCTAAAGATACCTGAAACAGAACTGGTGTGTGTGTGTGTGTGTGTGTGTGTGTGTGTGTGTGTGTGTGTGTGTGTGTGTGTGTTTGCAGAGCCACTGAGGTTTGCTATGGGAAATATTGCTCTTGGAACCACATAAAAATACCCAGGAATATAACTGCCCAGATTGAAGTTTTTCCAGGTTACTTATTTCACAGAAGGAGATGTTGTGATTTTAGTCTTTTAAACAGATAACGTGTTAAAAGTTAGAGTAAAGTAATTTGGGAAACACGTAAACAAAAAGATGGATAGGCTTTTAGCAGTGTCATGGTTTCACTGGGGCCGTATTACTGGTTTTCCATGGAGCAGCCCCTCAGTCCCATCGGCGGCTTCCTCTGTTCATGCAATCCAAGCCCTTTCAGTTCTCGTCAGTCCACATCACGCCAGTATAGGGGCAGCACCTCTGGTCATCTATTAATTTTAAAAATATATCTGCTTTTATTTCTTTCCTGAATACGGATGCCGAAGCCAGACAGAACACCTTGGCTGCACAGCTGCCCTTCCTGCCTCTTGGTTTCACGAGAGTATTCCTGGGCATTGAAACACTTTACACATTTGCATGCCATCTGCTCTGCTTAGCTACTGAGGGCTGGTCCTGTAGCCAATATGGTTACTCGGCCTAACATTTATTGAGAACTTACCACTCACCAAACATTGTGTTAAACAGTGTCTAGAGGCTGTCTTAATTAAAACTCACAAGAATCCTAGGAGGTAAGTTAGAATCTTTTCTCAAACTTGACAAATGAGCTTAGGGAAGTTAAGTTGCCTATAATCCCAGTTATTAAGTGGCAAAGCCAAAATTTAAGCACAAGACTGGGGCTCTGAACCACTTATTTTGTGCTGACGCCTGGTTTTCTTTTCCATTCCTGTGCATCTGTAGGTCTCCACCTAGCCTTTTAGACTAGACTCTGGTTGAGAAAACTTCGCTCCTTGCTTTTTCTCCCTGAGTTCCACCTGACTGTTCCACCCTGGAAGCTTCAGAGTGTCTGCTCCTCAGATATAATGGATTGCTCACAGGGGCCACACACTTGAAAGACAAAGGTGTCTAGGGCACAGGCCCTGCACTAGCAACTTGCCCTTTAGCAGGGTTGACAGACTATTAGGTCAACAGCTCCCAGCGCAGGGCGCAGGATGTGGTAGGGGCCAAAGAGCCTGTCAGAAAAGCAGGCGTGCTCCCCCACCACAACCATAACGGCCCCTAAGACTACACACACAGCCCTGACCTAGTGGCTCAGTTGGTTGGAGCATTGTCCATACACCAAAAGTTGGCAGGTTCAATTCCCAATCAGGGCACATACCCAGATTGTGGGTTCAATTCATAGTTGAGGCACGTGTGGGAGACAACCAATGAATGTTTCTCTCTCATACCCATGTTTCTCTCTTTCCCTCTTCCTTCCTCTCTCTAAAATCAACTTAAAAAAAAAAAAAAGAACACACACACACACACACACACACACACACACACACACTTTCATTTACCTCCTTCCGTGCCTTCTCTCATTTTTATCTTTGATGCTTCCCAGAAACTTCTGAGTTGTTTGATGAGAGCAGAGTAGTTATGGGGCCAAGATGACTAACAGAGAGATTCTTCTTTAAGTGTAAGTCATGCTTAATATTAAAAAATAAAATTACAAGCGATGCAGAATAATATAAATCAAAGTAAAAAAATTACCCAGTATCACTACTTCAAGTGATAACTGGTGTTGATAGTCCTTTCAGAATTTTAGGTAAGTATATGTAAAAGAAGTTAAAAGCCATAAGGATATTATAGGCCTCTTTCAGTACAATATTTGTTATATGATCATTTTAAGGTAATTAAAACATGTATCATATCTATTCTGTATTATTAAGACAACTTATCGATGAACATTTCATGTTTCTGGTTTATCCTGTTGTAAATATCTTTGCAGTAAACAGCATAATATACAAAGTGGGGCAAAAATAGGTTTACAGTTGTGAGCATGTGAATTTGTTCTCCTATTTTATTATTTTCCATATGAAGAACTGTAAATCTACTTTTGCCTCACCCTCTACATTGCTCAGATTCTCATTTCCCTTAAAAGTAGAATTTCGGAAAAAGGATGTATTACGTTTCACATTTTGATGTGTGTTAACAAATTGCCCTTCAGAAGCATTGCACTAACTTATATCCTCACCAGTAATGCAGGGCAGTGATTGGCAGTGTCTGTTCCCTATAGGCTTTTATCCTTCTTAATATTTGTGAATCTAACAGGTATAAAATGTTCTTATTTTCTAATTGCTTTGGTTACTAGTAAATCTGAACACATTTCCATAGTTTATTAGCCATTTCTCTATTTTCTTTGTGATGTATCTGTCCAAAGCCTTTGCTATTTTCTGTTGGTGTGTTTACAAAGAACCCTTTTAAAACAGAAACAAAACAAACAAACAAACAAAACATGGTAAAAATCTCAGTCCTCTTCTATGCTGTGCATATTTTTATTCAGTTGTTCATTTTTAAAGATACTTATGATCTAGAAGTCAGAAGTTGAGAGTTATCTTTTCCTTTATAATTTCAGTCTTGAAGTTATTCTCAGAAAGGTCTTCTCTACCTCCAAATTGTAGAAATGATCCACAATTAAATCTTCTTTTTTACTTTTCATAATTTAAATTTTAAAAGATAAAGTGGAGAGAGTAGCTAAATGAACAGCCAAATGCTTGTGATCTAAATTCAAGTTATTGACATTGCCATGCTCATCAATTTTTTTTCTTTTTTGCTTAAGTATTTTAAAGTAAGTCACACACACATCATGCCATTCACTTCAGGTACTTCATTATACAACTCTAAAGAGTTAAGTTACTTCGCTAGTCAGTGGAATCTTTGTATTCTTCAAACTTTTTCCATTGTTATAAGCTCAAAGGTCATACATTATACAATTCATAGTGTGTCATAAATCTTCTGAAAATTTGAATAAGAATGCACACATTTGCATTTTTGAAGTTATACTTTTCTAGATATTTCCTGAAATACAATAGTTGCTTAGTACTTATTATGTGCAAGGCCCCATTCTAGGCATTTTATATGATTTTCTAACTTTATCCTCCCTACAACTCAGGGAGGATGTCACTGACATCCCATTCTGTAGTCTTGTTTTTCTTTTTAGGAAATGAATTCTTTCCATCACTAAGCTTTCCAAATGACCTTGGACTTTAGGATAAACTCAAATTGGTTACTTTCCCATCATGCACACTGACAAAACCAAGATAATGATTTATATTTAATGAGAAGATTATTTTACTTAGCTTGTATCTGCCATAATTTGTATTTTCCTACTCTTTGAAGCTTTTATAGTTTTCTGTTTTTAACATCAAGAAGACATTTCACAGCTGCAACACCTCCGATGTGATAATAAACTCAGTATCCTCGGCTCTTCAGGGGTCTCTCTTTAGTGTTCCTTATTTGCTTGCCAAGAAATACCAACATTAATTCTCAGAACTTACAATGCATAGTGTATTACACAAAGGATCATAGTTTTGCTTTCTATATTCCTGTTTTCCTAAGCTAATTAGAATAGCAGCAGCAGCAAAAATCATAACAATAACACACACACACACACACACACACACACACACATACACATACACATACACATAGAGATAAACAGAGATAGATAGATAAATAGATAGGGAGGGAGGGAGGGAGGGAGAGAGAGAGAGAGAGAGAGAGAGAGAGAGAGAGAGAGAGAGAGAGAGAAACAGAGAGAGAGAGAGAAATAGTTAGAGAGAGAGAGAAAGATTCATTCCCGAGGATATTTTTTTCTCATTGATATTTAGAGAGAGTGGAAGGAAGGGGAAGAGACAGAGAAAGAAAAACATCAATATGAGAGAGAGAGGCATCGATTGGTTGCCTCTCACACCCACCCTGACAAGAGCCAGGGATCATGCCTGCAACCCAGGTATGTGCCCTTGATTAGAATCGAACTGAGATCCTTCAGTCTGCTGGCTGCCACTCTACTCACTGAGTCAAACCATCTGGGACATTATTTGTGGCATTTTGATTAAACTACTTTCTTACTTTCCCTTTAACTTTGTTCTGTGGTTGCTCAACATTTTAGACTTGTTCAGTTGTATTTCTTTGAATTTTTTTTTACATTGACTTAACCATCCTCCATGAATTAGTTAACTGATTGGACCATGTGACTAAGCAGTGAAATGTCTTTAACATTCTGCAGAGTATGGTAATTCAGATGTTGTGGAGTTATAATAACTCAGGTGCTGATTAATTATAGAGTATTTGTTTTCTGACATAAAATAATAATTATTTTATAATAATATAAAGCCCAAGTGTAGAGGATGGGTTTTGGAGTTAGTGCCTAATCCAAGCTGTCAGTTATTAAGAAGATTAGTTAGCCTCTCTAAACCTATTTTCTCTTCTGTAAAGTTGGGCATGGCCATTGCCCCTGCCTTGTAGATTGTACTGAAAAATGTTAAGCACTGACGGATGACTCACTCTTAAAAGCATGTAGTAGTCATTGTTTGGCAAAAATTTTTTAGCATACATTTTCTTTTGTTTTTTTTTGTTTTTTTTTTGAGAGAGAGAGAGGAAGGGAGAGGCATAGGGAGAGAGAAACATGAGAGAGGAACAGGGATCATTATCAATCAGCTGCCTCCTGCAAGTCATCAAGCCCGAAACTTGGGATGTGCCCTGACTGGGAATCAAACCTGTGACCTCTTGGTTCCTGGGTTTGACACTCAACCAGTGAGCCACACAGGCTGGGAAGCATTTGTTTTCCTAAAAGTAGAAGAAAGATAAATATTTCTGCATTCCTTCTTTGTTTTCAATCAGCCAGATTTCAGATAAAATGTGGACTGTAGAGCAGGTTACAACTTGACAGTCTAGCATTCTGTGGAACACAGCCTTTGAAAGTAACTATAAATAAGAGGTTGTTTATATCAAAATTCCAGTATCATCCTTTTAGTTAACATGTAAGTCTCATTTTATTTGTTTTTTTCTATACTAAGGAAAACTCTGAATCTGATCTTGATAGTCTTTTAGTTTTAAAATAAATCGCTCATGAACAACATATGACTGATGAACAAGAACAGACCCAGAGACAAGGAACCATGGGTCAGACTGTCGGACCTCAGAAAGAGGGTGGGGATAAAAGGGAGAGATCAACCAAAGGACTTGAGCCCATACATATAAGCCTAACCAGTGGTCAAGGACAATAGAGGGGTGGGAGCATGAGTGGGGAGGGGTGGAGGATGGGAATGAGGGGATGAGAACAAATATGTGACACCTTAATAAAGAAATTTAATTAATAAATAAATAAATATAAACTTGCTCACCATTTGTAGGAAGATGGGTAGTGGCCATTTTTATTACAAGGCATTATCCCCTTTTTGCTTTGTTGTTTGTTTGTTTTTTAGACACAGCAACCTGGGGATTCCTGGAGTGTGGGCTTTTCATATCGGCAGCGTCTCCCCACTGGACAACGTCCAGCCAGCTACAGTTGGAGGCTCCCTTTCCGAAGCCCGCTCCTCAGCTTCCCGGGAGCATCCCTTCAGCCACGCCGCAGCCCTGGAGAGAAACTACAGTGAGGACGATTTGGATTATTATGGTGAGAATGAGGAGGAGCCCGGATACCCACCGAGCGAACCAGGGGAGGCGATGAAAGGCCACGGCAATGTCAATGCTTCCTTGCGCTCCAACTCTGACTCGGGGCCTGTGGGAGGCGGGCTCTCTCCTCCAGATTCCTACCCGGACTCCCCTTTGTACCCAACACCCAGAAATAGGCCGTTCTCTCCGGAAACAGAATCTGCCTCCTTGGACTCTCACACCAAACCAGGGAGGCGTGTGCAGGAGATGGAGGTTCCGGAGAGAGGAGGCCAGGAGGAGTCTTCGGAACAGCCATGGACCAGAGGCCCAGCGCCATCAGAGGCAGAAAGACATATCCTGGGTCCTTCCCAGGGAGCCCCACCGCCCTACCTGGAAAACAGAAGCATCCAGCCCGAAGTCGATGGAGGGGCGCTGTCTCCAGAAAGGGGCGCTCATCCGGCCCATGGTGAAGGAGAGGAGGCGCTGCCCGGGTATGCCAGGCCACGGGATCCCGGGAGCCACACGGAAGGGCAGGAAGATAACGGTCCCAACACCGGGGGTAAGTGGCTAGAAAACTGGGTGCTCCAATCCCATTTTTAAAAAGGCTGGTTTTGCACGGAGCCATGCTCTCCCTCTCCGGCGAGTACGTGGGGAGTTTAGCCAAAAGAAGATTGGAACTGATTTCTGAACGCATGTTTCAGGAGATAGAGTATCTTCCCTTTGCCAAATATATCTTGGCAGGCGAATTCCGTTTGGAATCTCTTGACGATTAATAATGTTTTTTTAAAACATGGGCCTCACGAAGCGAGCGGGGAAGGACTGGCTTGCTCATGCCAGCGCTGCTCTCAAGGGTGATGAAGTATTTCGGTTTTGAAAGGTCAGCAAAGGTATAAAACATTCTGGGGCTTCACACATATCACAGCGATGGCGGGCAGAAGACTGATTCCAAGTGGCTATAAGATCCCAGATTCTTACTGTGTGAGGGGACAACCCTGGTGCTCCCCTCGGCCAGAGCTACTTGGCTGTGCGCGGGAGGGGAGAGGACATGGCTAACCACCTGCGTCTTGTCATTCCTGCTCCGCGGCTGTGCAGCTGTGACATCCGCCTCCCCAGAGCCTCGTCCTCGTTTCATGACTCACTGACCTGAGCGAGGGGCCAGGAGGGAAGTGCCGGGAGGCGGCAGCGGTTAGTTAATTCACACAGATATGGAGCCCGAGTCGCCTTCTCTTCCCAGGGCAGCCTTGTCGTGTCAGCTCTTTCTTCCCAGCCAGGGATGTAAACATGGGACGGGACACTGACCACAGAGCCATCCCATGTGTTCCAGGGCCTGCTCCTCTGACTTCTCATGGGAGGAAGGAGGTCAGAGGTGAAGGCATTCTTCAGGACCTCCTATTTTGTTTTTTTCTTTCACTTTTTCTGTTTCCCATCCCTTTTGTGATAAAGAAAAAAAAAAAAAAGTCGACCTAGCAAAGAGGGTCTTCTGCGGTGGTACGGGATTTGCTTGGAGAAGTGCTTATTTCGGGAGGGAGGGGACTACCTTGTGACTAAAGCTGCACTGTGGAGGGACCAGAGCGAGAGTGTTGGTGTCAGACTCGGGTTCTAGAGTCCTGGCTGCCACATTCCTTGCCTGGTCACACGAGGCAGCTTCTGTATCCCCCAGCCTCTGACTTCCAAATACGTTGAGAGGATTGAATGAGCTCTAACTGATTTGGCTCAGTGGATAGAGCATCGGCCTGCAGACTGAAAGGTCCCGGGTTCGATTCCGGTCAAGGGCATGTACCTTGGTTGCAGACACATCCCCAGTAGTGGGTGTGCAAGAGGCAGCTGATTGATGATTCTCTCTCATCGATGTTTCTAACTCTCTATCTCTCTCTCTTCCTCTTTGTAAAAAATCAATAATATATATATATATTATATATATAATATATATATGATTAAATGAGATATGAAGTTCTTAGGTTAGTGTCTGCACAGTTGGCTCTTCATAAGCAGTGGCTGCTGTTACTAATTATAGAACATTTACAGCGGTGGGAATGAGATGGGGGTGGGGTGAGTGGAGAATAAGGAGCGGGCTTGTGAAGGGGTTGTGCCTTCATTTGTGCCTGAAGACTGTGCTGCTGCCAAGCTGGAGATGTGAGTTTTAGGGGAAGGCTTTGGGACCTTCAGACCCTCTGGACCATTTCCTGACTTTCCAGCCTAAGTTCCATACATCTAGAGAAAGTTTGAAGCTATTATAAGTATTAAAGGTTTTCAGGAATTTTGAGGCAACGATGTATTTCTCAATGGTGTTTGCACTTGTGATTTCCTGCCCTGGGAAGAGGTTGGAATGTTAAAAAGCAGACCCACGGGGTGATTTATTAAATGGGGAAGAGGAAGGGGTTGGCCCTCCTGCTTTGAGCTGGGAGAGGTTGAGATCACTGAGTCAGCGGAGGAGGTTGAGGGAACTGGCCGTGGAGAACAGAGGTGGCAACCGTAACTCTCCTGGGGCACGAACTATGTATTTATCAGACACTGGAAGGCGTCTCACTGACAGCTGGGAAATGGCAAGATGCACATGAAAAAGCTGGTTAATACATTGAGACATTTAGGAAAAAATAAATCTACCGAGCCACCAGTATGTTAGAGAGTGGAGAGGAAAAACGTTAGCATTTGAAAGCAGAGAGGGAAAACAGCCGAGCCTCTGTTTGCGCCTCAGGTTTTCGGAAGACTGTGAGGTATAGAACCATGCAGGCGTTAGGTTCTTTCTTTTGTACAGTAAATATCCGCCCCCCCCCCCCCCAATGAAACTTTGGCACCCCAGAGGTCTCGCTGGCAAAAAAAAGGAGATCCCTTGGTGGGTAGGAGTCGCAGAGACCTAGAGCATTGCCTGCTAACTGCCAGGCCTGACCTATCCCACCTGGCTTTTTCTGCTGATGGAGTGGAGGAGTGGACTGTGGTGTTCGGTGGACTGGAGCTTGATTTCCAGCTCTGCTCTGTGGTTTTGATACTGGAGGGGAGAGGTCCTCGTCTCCCCTGGGTGGGAATGGGGGTGGGTTTCTTGTGATATCCCAAGAGAAATAATTTTCTGAGACTTGTAGGGAGAATGAGATGTAGTAGAAAGCTTTGTTTTCACGGAAGGACATCCCTGAGTTTCCACTGTCCCGTTTCCCTCAGGGCAGTGATAGAAGAAGTGTAGCTGGGGCTTACAGATCTGAATTGGGAGCCAGTGTCCAGAGCCTTCTCTCCATGTTGGAGCAGAGTCCAGTCCGGCATCAGGCTAGCTCGGTTTGTGTTCTCCACTGCAGTCCATCGGCCCATCGCAGGTGGGCCTGCAGGTCCGCACGGCTGTGGAGGAAACACGGGAGAATGCAAGCGAGTCAAGAGCACAGGAGCCACAAGAGAGAAAATTCCTTTGTTTAGGAGATAATGTGTTTCCAAATTTCATTCCCTTGCAGTGGCCATGCCCGTTCTGGCCAATGATCTTGCTCCCATCAGGCAAGTACTTTCCCTGCATTGCCCCAACTTCACAGGGCATGCGTCTGTCTCCCCTGGTCAGGTGCCTTCCCCCAGCCTATAATGTCTGGCTTCCCTCTTTGCTCTTTTCATTATATATATAATACGATAGATAGATAGATAGATAGATAGATAGATAGATAGATAGATAGATAGATATAGATATATAGATATATATAGATATATAGCGGTAATATGCAAATTAGGCCGGGACGCCGTAACGGGTCACTACCAGACAGGAGGAGATTGCATGCACAGGTGAGGCCTGGAGACAGAGACACGGGTGCCTGCCCGAGCTGGCAGGGCGGCATGGGTGGCCCCGGAGCACACACAGACAGGGGGACCGGGGGATGCTGTGAGCCAGGTGTGGGTCCTGGCCCCTCGCAGGGTGCCTCCTTGCACGGTGGGAAGTGGGGCGCCTCTTCACACGATTTCAATCGCCTGCAGGACCTCTAGTTATTAATAACTAGCTAATTACAGTGGTATCAGTTTGGGGTAAGACTTAAGCTCTGTCTGGCCAACATTTTCCTTGGTTCTAACGTGGAAAAGTTTTAGACCTCATTAAGTCATTATGACCATTAAAACTGGGCATGGGAAGCACCTCGCCTAATGAATTTTAGTTTCTCCTTCAAGCTTCATACTGGTAGTAGTCATCTTGCTAAAACAAGAAAGTAAGATTTAGTTGCAGCTCCTCATCCCAATATCTCTCCCTTCTTTTATTTTAATTTCTCCTTCCCCATTTAGGGACTCTTATTATAAACTTTCCTTTTTGTTAAGAAATCTAGATTCTTTTCTGATCATGTCTACACCAGGCAAGAATGTCCCAGTCACAAGCTAGTTCTGGCTTCAGGTATATACTTGCCTTCTTCTGTTGTCTTAGCCCAGAAGCAGCAATAAAAGGAGGGTGCAGTGTCCTCTGCCTCAGATGTTTTATTTCTCCAGGGAATGCTAAGGGCTGGTTGTTAAACCAAAAAGTTACCTGCTGTGTGCTGTGTCTGATTGAGGCACTAGTGGGAGTTCCCCCTGGCATTTGTGGGTGCCCACTGGGGCTCCGAGAGGGAACTTGGCTGAGGATTGCACTATCACAGTTAGTCCTCAGAATTGCCCTGTGAGGTAGTACTATTATCCTTCCCATTTTATGGAGGAGAAAACTGAGGCCTGGAATATACTGAGTGATCTGCCTGAGTAAGAGGCAGACCAAGACGGCCAGAAGTAGGCTGGGAAGTAACACAGTGAAGAGTGAATCCTAAGATGGCAGTCAAGCGGGGAAAGCACAGGTGTGTACTGGATTTCCCTGTGGCTTCCTGTCCAACCCTTCTTTTGGCCTGGGGAAGGCTGCAGGGTGGTGTTGCTCAGGCAGCTTCTATCCTGGGCTGCACTGGAGCAGGCTGCACTCCAATCCAGCAGGAGAGCCCCTCTCTGGGGCACCTCCGGCTGCTGCGGGCTGAGAAGACAGCAGAGAGAGCCTCTGGTGTCAGGACAGTGGATGTAAACCCCACGCCCCAGCCAGGCGCCTAAGAACCGTTGGCCGGACAGCATCACTGCAACGCACACATTCATCGAAATAAACGAACATGTAAACTAGAGGAAAAAACACACCACCATTTTTTGGTATAAATTCGGATGTGGTTTTTCTCACTAGTCTGTCATTCTGGGAGGTGGGCAAACTTAGCGAAGTCTGGCTGCTGTGGGAAGGCGAGTTCCTTCTCTGGAGGTCGTAGTAGAACTCATTTAAAAAAGTCACTCCAGCCTACCAGTTTGGCTCAGTAGATAGAGCATCGGCCTGCGGCCGATTCCGGTCAAGGGCATGTGCTTTGGTTGCGGGCACATCCCCAGTAGGGAGTGTGCAGGAGGCAGCTGATCGATGTTTCTCTCTCATGGATGTTTCAGGCTTTCTGTCCCTCTCCCTTTCTCTCTGTAAAAATCAATAAAATATATTAAAAAAAAAAAAAAAAAGTCACTCCAGCCCGACCTACATGGCTCAATGGCTGAGCATCAACCTATGAACCAGCAGGTCAGGTTCGATTCCTGGTCAGGGCACATGCCCAGTCCCTCCCTCCCTGTCCT